CCTTATTGCATTTCATTCCATTCATTTCAGATCATTTTTCCAGTTTGCCAGGATCATTTTGAATTCTAATATTGTCCTCCAAAGCGCTTGCAGCCCCTCCCAGTTTGGTGTTCTCTGCAAACTTTATAAGTGTGCTCTCTATGCCATTATTGAAACTCGCGACCAGGGTCCCAGGAGTGCCACGCTGAGATTGCTCACTTAGGGCAAGCTGCAAAGAATGGGGCAGACGATCCCCAAAGCTGGTGGTTATTCTGATACTTAGATGTACCATGCCAGCAACAAAACAGCTTCCACAATACCTTACTAGATACCCAGAAGCAGAAAAGGCAGTTCCCTTAAAACACCCCAGCCTTGGGCTTTTTCCCAGACAGCCAAGTCAAATATGGTGAGGATTACTGAAAATCTTGTTCATCATATAAAAAAGTTCTACCAATCACAAAGGATCAGACACATTACCCACCAGGTTAATGAATATTTCAGATCTTACCCAAATACACACTTACAGCCAATTCTTAATAACTAAACTAAGATTTATTAAAAAAGAAGAGAGAGAGTGTATTGGTTAAAAGATCATTATACATACAGACTTGAATAAAATTCTTAGGTCAGTTTTATAGTAGAGACGGTGGGCTTCTGAGTTGCACAGAGTTCTTTCAGAATTAGTCCATAGGTTCAGTCCAATGTTCCATATCAGGGCGATCCAAAATGAAATTGGAGACCTCTGTTTTTCAGCTTACATTGAAGGGCCCCACTGGATAATACCCTTCCATGTTGACTGTGAACCATTGACAACTACTCTCTGATTGTGGTTTTCCAACCAGTTGTGCACCCACTTTATTGTAGGTTCATCTAGGCTATTTCCCTAGTTTGCTTATGATAAGATCATGTGCCAAAAGTCAAAATATGTCACATCTACTGCTACCCCCCATCCACAAGACTTGTTAAACTGGCAACGAAGAATATTAGGTTGTCTTGACATTATTTATTCTTGAGAAATCCAAGTTGACAGTTGCTTCTCACCTTATTTACTTCAAGAATTTACAAATTGATTGTTTGATTATTTGGTCCAGTATCTTTCCTGTTACCAAAATTAAGCTGACTGCTCTATAATTCCTTGGACTGTCCTCATTCCCTTTTTATAGAGAGGTACTTTATTTGCCCTTTTCCAGTTCTCTGGGATATCTCCCATCCTTTGTGAGTCCTCAGAGATGATCACCAATGGCTCATGGTTCTGTTCAACCAGTTCCTTTAGTTTTCTTGGATGTCTTTCATCAGGCCCTGCTGCTTTTAAGACATCTTCAAAAATTATCACTTATGACTCAGAGATATCTTCCACCAGGTCCTTAATGAGCTTACTTTGCAGTTTATGTTAGATATTAGGAAAAACTTTCTAACTGTAAGGATAATTATGCTTGGGAATAGGCTTCCAAGGGATGTTGTGGATTCCTCATCATTGGAAGTTTTAAAAAAACAGGTTGGACAAACACCTGTGAGGGATGGTCTAGGTTTGCTTGATCCTGTCATAGCACAGAGGGCTGGACTTGATAACTTCTTGAGTTCTCTTCCAGCCCTTCTTTTCTGTCATTCTGTGCTTTCTTCCATGCTGCTCCTTGCTCTTTGGAGGAACTCCCCATAAACATCCCGAGACCTCCCAGGTTATCCTCCTTCCCATCCCTCCGTACAACTCCCCGGTTCCATGAAGCTTTCAAACACATGACAGTGGTTAAGCGGGTTGTGTGCTCAGATCACTATCTATCAGGGTGACAAATGTTGTCTTATTGTTTCCTTGTGATTCCCCTGTCACTATTCATGGCCATTGCACCTGTATTCCCCCTCTGTGGTCCAGCAAGGGCACCCACTCTTAGGCTGCCCAGACGTCACCTCTCAGGTAGAAACCCACATCTCTCTCTCTCTCTCCTGACTGGGGTATCTCCAGGCTGCACAGCTCCCTGCCTACCCTGTGAGTTCACCAGCAAGGCAGATCCTCTCAGCAGTCTTGCTTTGCCTTCCTTCCTCAGAGGCTATGAACAGCGTAACAGCCTCCAGTTAAGCTACCAGACCGCCCTTTCCCAGCAAACAACGATTCTCAGGATAAAAGCATTACAGAAAGAACATATTAAAAACAATAAAGGAACTTATACACATGCTAATAAGCTTACCTGAGAGCACCCCAACCCCAACAAGGGCTCAGGCAGGGGAACAGACCTTCAAACCCCACCAAGAGTTTTTTCTGTGATTGTTAGCTCAGAACAAGCATGCCTGTGCATCTGTAAGTCACCCTTTTATCTAGTTTGGGCCTCTGAACTTTACTCCTGGGGGAATTCTGCGCCATTGTATGTGCGCAGAATTCATGTGCCGCACAGAATTTTTTTTCTCTGTAGAACATACATTCAGCCAGAGATGTGCTGCAGTTATACCGTTCGCCCACCAGGGGCTGCTGTGGTGCCAGTACAGAGAGCAGTCGCTCTTGGGCACAAGCGGCTCCAGCTGCAGATAGGGAAGAGGAAAGGCTAGGGTCCTCACAGTGCCGTACCCATGGAGCCCGGTCAGGAGGCACAGGATATGGGGGGATGGACAGCGTGAGGCACATGGGGCTGCTGGGAAATCACAGACTGGGGTTCAAGAGCTAGTGGGGTGACAGACTGGGGTAGGGGCTGAAAGGGAGTGGGGGTTCAGGGACACATGGGGAGGGGAGTGACAGAGTGGGGGTGCAGGGCCACATGGGGACATTTCTGTATTGTAGTTTACATTAATTATTACTCAGAGTTCTGTATTAATATTTCTTGTAATTAATCTATTTGTCAAAAAACATTTCCCGAATCTTTTTTGTTGTCTGTATTGTTAAAATCTTAAATTATGTACAGAAATTTTAATTTTTTGTGCAGAGTTACCCAGGAGTAGAACTTGTGTTCATGTCATAGGTGATCAGCAGCCAATGGTTTCTTCTCAGAGTGCAGCTTCCATAGGTTTTGGGTGGAGATGAGAAGTTGCCGTCCCCTTCTCCCAAGTATTTCCTAGGAATCTCATTTACATTTGTCTAGCACGTTGTTTCAAAGAGTCTTTTGAAGCTCATAAGACTTCCTAGGGTTTATGTTAGCCAGGTCACCTCCCTGGAGACGTTAAAGACCATCCCATGGTAATACATACACATTCATATTTTTAATAAAATAAACTCCAAGGATACTGAGAACTTAATTCAGTAAGGTTTGACTTAATTCAATAAGAATGGTCCAAGATATCACAGGAAACTGTGTCACACCTGTGTCTGTCTGTATCCATCTTTCTCTTCTCTTATTCTTTGGTTCTCAGATCTTTAGTGCAGAGACCAGTTTCTGTTTGTAGAATGTCCAGCAGAATGGGATCCTAGTCCATGAATAGCGTTACTAGGTGCTACGGTGACAGGAATAGTAAATGATGATAATAATGGGGAGGTTCTGGGCAATGGGAGGGAGGGTGTTAGAGAGCGGGGAGAGGAACATTTGGGGCAAAGACCTCCTACGAGCTGGGAGCAGTGGTAAGGGGTAGGGATGCCATGGAATAGCTGCTGTAGGGAGGATGCTGTGGAGGACGGGACACAATGGAAACCAAGGATCTGGAAGGGTTGGTGCTGGTTAGAGGGTGCTCCAGGAAATAGGGGTGCTTGCAATGGGAGGGAGTAAAGGGACACATTTCTGGCAGGAGCTCTTGGGAATCAGGACTAAGGAACAATTGAGATAATGGGATGAGGGTTGGGGAGCAGATAATTTGGGAGACCTGGTAGCAAGGAGGGGTGTGGGCCATGGGAGGAGAGGCGAGAACCCAAGAAGAAATTTTTCCTTGGGTCCCTGGAGGTGTGGAAGAGTGAGAGCAGTTAGAGGAAGGAGTGTGGGGGGGGTCATAGAGATTGGCAGGGCTAGCTGCCTCTCTGTGCCCTTCCTCATCTCTCTGAGTGTCCCCCCTCAGCTGTCAGGTCTCAGGCCTTTCTCTCTGTCCTGCAGTGACTGTGGCCCTCTCTCTGTCAGTATGAAGCAGTTCTAGGGGGACTTCCCCTCTGGCTGGAGTCTTCCCTTTCTGCGACATGGAGTTACCTGCTCTGGGTTTTAAGAGCCCTTTTGCTCGTGAGTGTCTGGCTGTGTATTGATGTGGAAAAAGTGACCCACGCATCATTTTGATCAGAGACTCAAGCCTGAGGCCCGTTTATTGCAATACATACCAACGCGTTGGGGGTAGCAGTTAGAAACCACTCCCCCGATCTGGAGTACACTTTGCCCTTTTAAAGCCGAAAACCGCAAACATATTACAAGTTACACGTTATTTATGAGAATAGGAGAGTTAGGGTCTTTTTGCCCTTCTCGGCACCCCTTTCGCAATGTTCTCGGAATAGGGTGCTATTTGAGTGGAGGGCATTTTGGTGGTTTCTGATACTGGCATTGTCTTGCTTCATTTGGGGTGCCTATTATGCAAGTGTTCCAGTCAGGGTGCAGTTTACAGAAAGGGAGTTTATGCACTCGGAGAAAGGGGGGTTTAGGGGCACTTAAACGAGAGGGATGATTGGTTGTTTTTTTAAGTATAACCTTACTTATTACTTCACACAAGCGGTTATTATATTTCGCCAGCCGTAAACACACACGCTATTATTATTGCTGCTAGGGCTTTTTATCCTTCCCTTTCCCTGGCCCCCCTCCCTCCTCTGGTCATAACCCTTGACTGTCACTGACAGGGAGCACAACACTTAGCTTGGATCGGGCTTGTGGCCTGCAGGGTGGGCCTATGTCGATCTAAGGCTTAATCTAATCGGGCTGGCTAGATTTTTCCCCACAGTATGTTCCTAGTAGACATGGGCACAGCTAAATACCTCATAAGAAGAGTGCCCTGAACCTTTGAGCCCCTGGGGAGCTGGCCCCAGGATTTTACTGCTTTAAAATGGGCTGGGGTTAAAATAACAGAACTTTTTGTGTGTGAGACAAAAGTCCCATGAATTCACCTGATCTCACTTGTCTTCTTTCCCCTTAGCAGGGTTTCCAGTTTCTCAACTTGATGTCCTCTCCCAGCTGGAAAAAGGGGAAGAGTTGTTTTCCACAGATCTCCAGGACTCAGAGGAAAGAAAGCTCCTGAGAAGCAGCTATACAGGTGAGGGATCATTAAACCAACTCAGTGCCTGAAGAAAAGAGCTGGGATTCCCAACAAAGACCTTGTGAGCTCTCTGTGTTCACGCTTGTTCCCAGCAAGTGTCATATCCTCAGGGCAGATGTTGCTGACAGCTTCCTACTCATCCTGACTAACTCCTGGCAGTATCTCCTTCCCCAAACTTCCTTCTCCTAAAGTGTTTGGATAGGAACTGAATGCAGAATTGATCCCCCCTCTCTCCCCTTTAAGAAAGAGTTTGGGGAAATTCAATCCCTAATTTTTTCCATTGCCAGCTGTTCTTTTGGTTTTTCCATTCCTGTTTCTGAGATTTTTCTTTCTCTGTCTTGCAGGTGAGGGGATGGTGAGAGAGACCATGGACCAGAATCCTCAGCAGGAAGACGATGAAGTGGAACCACAAGGGTCTTTATTGCAAAGATGCAAAGGGAGTATGTCCAGGACTTGTGAGCAGGGAAAAGCCTGTGAGAGTCAGCACAGGCCAGAGAAGCAGCAGGGAAACCAGCCAATGCAGAAAGTTGGTAAATCTGTTAATTATCAGGGAACTCACAAAGGCCACAAGGAAACCATGTCCCAGCAGAGAATCCCCATGGGAGAGAGAAATAACACACGTGTTGAATGTGGGAAAAAGTTCAGTAGGCGCTCACACCTTGTTAAACATGAGAGAATCCATAAAGGGGAGAAACCCTATGAATGCTGTGAGTGTGGGAAAACCTTCACTGAACGCTCAAACCTTATTAAACATCAGAGGATCCACACAGGGGAGAAACCCTATGAATGCTGTGAGTGCGGGAAAACTTTTTCTCGGAGCTCAGCCCTTATTTACCATTGGAGAATCCACACAGGGGAGAAACCCTATGAATGCTGCGAGTGTGGGAAAACCTTCCCACAGAGCTCAGCCCTTATTAGCCATCAGAGGATCCACACTGGGGACAAACCATATGAATGTTGTGAGTGCAGGAAAACCTTCCTTTGGCACTCTGACCTTATTAGACATCAGAGGATCCACACAGGTGAGAAACCCTATGAATGTTGTGAGTGCGGGAAAACCTTCACTGAGCGCGCAAGCCTTATTAAACATCACAGGATCCACACAGGGGAGAAACCCTATGAATGTTGTGAGTGCAGGAAAACTTTCTCTCGGAGCTCTGCCCTTATTAAACATCAGAGAATCCATACAGGGGAGAAACCCTATGAATGCTTTGACTGTGGGAAAAGTTTCACTACCAGGTCAAACCTTGTTACACATCAAATGATCCACACAGGGGAGAAACCCTATGAATGTTGTGAGTGTGGGAAAACCTTCGCTCGGAGCTCAGCCTTTATTAACCATCAGAGGATCCATACAGGGGAGAAACCCTATGAATGCTGTGACTGTGGAAAGAAATTCACTGAGCGTTCAACCCTTATTACCCATCAGAGGATCCATACAGGGGAAAGGCCCTATGAATGCAGAGAGTGTGGGAAAACCTTCACACAGCGCTCAGCCCTTGTTACCCATCAGAGGATCCACACTGGGGACAAACCATATGAATGTTATGAGTGCAGGAAAACCTTCCCTCAGAGCTCAGCCCTTATTAGACATCAGAGGATCCACACAGGTGAGCAACCCTATGAATGCTGTGAGTGTGGGAAAACCTTTGCTCGGCGCTCACACCTTATTAGACATCAGAGGATCCACACAGGGGAGAAACCCTATGAATGCTGTGAGTGTGGGAAAATCTTCGCTCGGAGCTCAGCCTTAATTAACCATCAGAGGATCCATACAGGGGAAAAACCCTATAAATGCTGTGAGTGTGGAAAAACCTTCGCTTGGAGCTCAGCCTTAATTAACCATCAGAGGATCCACACAGGGAAGAAACCCTATGAATGCTGTGAGTGTGGGAAAACTTTCACTGAGCGCTCAACCCTTATTAAGCATCAGAGGATCCATACACGGGAAAGGCCCTATGAATGCAGAGAGTGTGGGAAAACCTTCCCTCAGAGCTCAGCCCTTACTAGCCATCAGAGGATCCACACTGGGGACAAACCATATAAATGCTGTGAGTGCAGGAAAACCTTCCTTCGGCACTCTGACCTTATTAGACATCAGAGGATCCACGCGGGAGAGAGATCCTATGAATGCTCCAAGTGTGGGAAATTCTTCCATCAAAGCTCAGCCTTTGTTTATCATCAGAGAAGCTGCAAGGGAGATAAAAACCATAAAACCCTTGTCTAGAGCTGAGGAAAGATTTTATTTTCCGTTTGCTAATTCCCACATAGTGAGCTTAAAAGAAGTTTTGTGTCCCCATGGTCTTTCAGTTCCCCCAGCTGAGTTATGTGCTTTTCCCTTTTGTAGCTCACCCTCCCTTGGGGGGAATCCCCCCGTCTTTTTCAGCAACTCCTTTGTCCTATGTCATGGAAGTGTGTCCCTCCAACTGGAATTTCAGTCAATCCCAGGTGGGGGAACCAGGAGTGACCTCAACTAGGTACATGGAGGCCTACATGGGCCTTGACTCCACTAGGATTTTCCATGGAGTTAGCTAGCTTCAATTACCTATCCTAATGTAAAAACACAAGTATTTTTTCAATTAAAAAATACCCCATATATGGTGGCCAAGATCATTTAGAAAATTTCCTCAACACCTGGCATAACCTCCATCACTTTTCCTAGTCTAAACATATTTGGAGTATCACATTTATACTTTTCCTCCCACTGCAAAGAAATTGTTAGTCACCAGGTTCCCATACTAGGGACAGATTGTCTCATTCCCAGTTGTTCTCACATTACACTGGGTTGTGCTGAAAGTTTTTCTACCATTTTTCCATATTAAATACATTTAAATATAACAAAGAGAAGGAGCAGGTTTAGAGATGATGGGGGGGGGGGGGAATTTCAACCTCTGAGACACCTGAAGAAGAAGTGGTGAGTTGGAGGGATTCTCACATTCCGAATTACCCCAGCAATGTTTCCTATGTTTGAGCCAGATAGAATTTATCTTCTCCACTTTCTACACCTCCACCTGTCATTATGTCTTATGATTCAGTGTTCTCAGCCCTCTGCTTGGGAATCACATTTTATTTTCTTTGATCATAAAACAATATTTTCGAAACTGAGATGACAGTGTCACAGACTTGCAAGGGGAATTTGAATGGATGTCAAACACAGCATGATCACTGGGAGTTGAAATCCCAGTTTCCAACTGTTGGGAAAGCCAATATATTGATTTCAGTTGCCACACAGAATACAAACGGAACAGTGCTCACTTTATATTATTTTATTACAAATATTTTCTATAAATAGAAAATAAATAGTATTTTTCAATTCACCTAATACAAATAATGTAGTACAATCTCTATCACGAAAGTTGAACTTGCAAATGTAAAATTATATACAAAAAATAATTGCACTAAAAAAAACCAATTTAAAACTTTAGAGCCAACAAGTCTACTCAGTCCTAGTTCTTGTTCAGTTTGTTTGTTTGTTTACATTTACAGGAGGTAATGCTGCCTGCTTCTTGTTTACAATGTCACCTGAAAGTGACAACAGGTGTTTGCATGGCACTGTTGTAGCTGGCGTCGCAAGCTATTTACGTGCTAGATGCACTAAAGATGCATATGTCCCTTCATGCTTCAACCATCCTTCCAGAGGTCATGCGTCCAGGCCAATAACGGGTTCTGCTTGATAACGATCCACAGCAGTGTGGATCAACACATATTCATTTTCATCATCAGAATCAGATGCCACCAGCAGAAAGTTGATTTTTTTTTTTGGTGGTTCAGTTCTGTAGTTTCTGCATTGAAGTGTTGCTCTTTTAAGACTTCTGAAAGCATGCTGCACACCTCATTCCTCTCCGATTTTGGAAGGCACTTCAGATTCGTAAAACTTTGGTCGAGTGCTGTAGCTATCTTTAGAAATCTCACCACTGGTACCTTCTTAGCGTTTTGTCAAATCTGAAGTGAAAGTGTTCTTAAAACGAACAACATGTGCTGGGTCATCATCCAAGATTGCTATAACATGAACTATATGGCGGAATGCAGGTAAAACAGAGCAGGAGACATACAATTCTCCCCCAAGGAGCTCAGTCACAAATTTAATTAATGCATTGTTTGAATGAGCGTCATCAGCATGGAAGCATCTCATCTGGAATGGTGGCCGAAGCATGAAGGGGCATACAAATGTTTAGCATATCTGGCACATAAATACCTTGCAATGCTGGCTACAAAAGTGCCATGCAAACACCTGTTCTCACTTTCAGGTGATGTAAATTAGAAGCAGGCAGCATTATGTCTTGTAAATGTAAAGAAACTTGTTTGTCTTGTCAATTGGCTGAACAATAAGTAGGACTGAATGGACTTGTTGGCTCTAAAGTTTTACATTGTTTTGTTTTTTGAGTGCTTTATGTAACAAAAAAAATCTACATTTGTAAGTTGCACTTTCATGATAAAGAGATTGCTCTTCAGTACTTGTATGAGGTGAATTGAAAAATACAATTTCTTTGTTTATCATTTTTACAGTGCCAATATTTGTAATAAAAAATAATATAATAAAGTGAGCAGTGCACACTTTGTATTCTGCATTGTAATTGAAATCAATACATTTGAAAATACAGAAAAATATCCAAAAATATGTAATAAATTTCAATTAACAGTGCGATTAATCGCGATTCATTTTTTTGAGTTAATCGTGTGAGTTAACTGTGATTAATTGAGAGCCCTAAATAAAATTCAATAGTAATGAGTGAAGCAGGTTTGAACGGCTCAGAGGAGAATGCAATGGGAGAATCTCTTGTCTTGATTCTGAGTCATCACATTTAACCTGCTCTGGAATTTCTAGTTATATGAAATTAGAAACTTAATTTCTGGTTATGTGAATCTTATACCTCTGTGATGGTTTTTTTGTTTGTTTGTTTGTTTTTGTTTTTGAGGGTCATTTGGTCATATAACCAGATGTTAGTTTGATTCGCCAGACTATAGCTTAGATTTTTGGGGGAATTTTATTGGGGAATTCGTATTTTATTTTTGCTTTTCCCCTACCCCTTCCATGATGACATGGAGAAACTTCAAGTTCAGTTCAGTCAACAGGAGATAATACTGCAAGCTATTGGACGTGTTACTAACTGTTTTTATATCTCCCATCTGAAATGATGAACAACAGCACACCCCAAATTGTGAAACTAACTGAAATAACTGAATACAATCACAGTGTTGTTCAATTATTTAAGGTCAATCTTGTCTCAGATGATCTGGGGAGAGAATTCCACAGGAAGTGACTAGGAACTGGGCAAAAGGCCCATGTATTTGTTTCCCAAGGCAGTTGTGACCCAGGCTCTTGTGACAGACTATACCCCTGTGTTCACACCCTACACATTAATGCAGTAATTTTTGTACAAGGCATGTCTTCTCGGATACCATTTAAAATTCATCATTTGCTAATCAACAATATCATGGCAAAATACACATATCAGTGTTATATGTGAAGTAATAAAAACAAGCTGAAATCATGCCTACTAGAATGCTACCCAGATAAATCTGGGGAGTGGTGAAAACAGTTCCTCAGAGACAAAGGGCAGTTGATGCCTCAGCCAGGTGTAAAGAAGGCTGATGGACCATTACCTGCTAAGTGCCCATTCTTTGGCAGGAAAGGTGGCATGGGCAAAAAAAAACAGTATGGAGTTCCCTTCCACACAGATTGCCTGTAGCCTTGCTCCCAGCTGGAAATGCTTCTCAAAGTGGGGACAGGGCTATAAAAAGAAGGGGCAGATACCCCCAAAACATCCCTTGCTTCTCCTACCCATTGCATTCTCTGCATCGGAGATGACAAAATGACACTACCATTGAGCTTTGATGGAGGGGTCCTGACCGAAAGAGTTTGGTCAGTAAGACTACTGAAGCATCTGCTGAGAAAAATCTGCTTTGAAACTGAGATAATTTCTTAGGAATACATTAGTAAGCATTTTATCTTTATTTTTCTTGAAACCATTTACGACTTTTATGCCTCATTTCCTGTACTCTCATAAAATCCCTCTTTGTAGTTATTAAACAACTTTTCTGTTTTATATAAGCCAGTGTGTTTAAACTGAAGTTTCTGAGTCGCTATTTGAAATAATAAACTGACAGATTATTCTCTTAAAGGTTTATTGGTCTCCAAATATTGTGTGCTGTCCAGGAGAGGGCTGGGCAGTACAGGACATACATTTCTGGGGGAAGACTGGGAGTGTGTTGGGGGGTCACCGTGCAGTATAACCAAGGCTGGGGAGAGGCAGAGTGTAACCCAAGTGTGGCTGGCAGGCTACACTTACACACACTCAGGGTGAGTCTTTCATGCTGGAAGGCTATTTGTGAGTGGCCTAGGTGGGATCTATTTCATCAAGGCATTGTAAGGCACCCAGGGTTTGGGGGCAGGGGCGACACCGCTGCTCATTAGTCTGGATGGTATCCTGGTATGTCACAGCTTTACAGAAGTTTACGTTTGATGTCATCTCCTACCTAATCCAATAATTTGGGGAAAGCTATCCCGACTCATGGAGATGTGGAGAAAATAGAACTGTGGTTTTTTTTGTTGAACTCACTCCTCAGTAGGAACTGCAAATGTGTGTAAAATACAATCAGTGTTGAAGGTGAGAGGTGCAGGAAAATAAGTAATGGTTTTTGCTTAGAAACTCCACCTCAGATAGTTAAATTAATGGAGATATCCTATTTCCTAGAACTTGAAGGGACCTTGAAAGGTCATCAAGTCCAGCCCCCTGCCTTCACTAGCAGGACCAAGTACTGATTTTGCCCCAGATTCCTAAGTGGCCCCCTCAAGGATTGAACTCATAACCCTGGGTTTAGCAGGCCAATGCTCAAACCACTGAGCTATCCCTCCCCCCGTTAACAGAGATTGTGAGCCCGACTTGTGTCTAATTCCTGACTGACATCTGTGCCACCAGTTCAGAGAAATGCTGTTATTTCTATTCCCTTAGCCCTAGAAGCCCCAGTCACAGACTAGACCCCTGTTGTGCTAGATGATGTACAAACACAGAAAAGGAAGACGGCCCTGGCCATGAGGAGCAGACAGACGCAGGATGGGGAAGGGGTAGAACACACCAGCAGAGTAAACAGTGTGAGGGCAGCCAATGGCATGTGAGTGCCACAGAGTGTTGTTCGGTTTAATCAGGAGGGGCCCAGGTGAAGGTAAGGGAGAAGGCCACTGATGCGGAAAAGACAGGGGGATGGGTTGGTGAGAAGAGGGTAAAAAGAATGACGCTCAGGAGAAGAGATTGGGAGATAGACGGGAAGATGGCTCAAACAGTCTGTCAGTACATGGCAGAAAGTCAAGTCAAACTGTAGAAAAGTCTCAATCTTGGGAGGACCAGAGGTCCCCTGCTTTGGCTGCTTCTGCTCCTCCTGGCTGCAGGGGCACCATTTAGGGGGAGCATGTAGGGGCTCTAGCCCTCCCTGAGTTTCATACCTGAAGTCAGCTCACAGCGCATGCCCTAGCCCCAGACAGAGCTCTTAACTGCAACACAGCTTGAGGGTGATATGTCATGAGTTCGGTGCTGCTCCCAGCTTCCACTTTTGGGGCGGGGAGTTTGTTTATAACCATAAGAACGGCCATACTGGGTCAGACCAAAGGTCCATCTAGCCCAGTATCCTGTCTTCTGACAGTGGCCAGTGCCAGGGGCCCCACAGGGAATGAACAGAACAGGTAATCATCAAATGATCCATCCCGTCACCCACTCCCAGCTTCTGGCAAACAGAGGCTAGGGACACCATCCCCTGTCCATCCTGGCTAATAGTCATTGAACTTATGGATTTACCCAGAGGCCCCCTTATATCCCAGTGGTGGGCATACCCTTTGACTGTGTCAGAATGGATTTTGTTGGGCCACTAGAAAAGAGCAAAATGAGAGCAGTTACAGCACCTCCTGCAGGACTTCCCGGACGTCTTGTCAACCCGCCCCGGACGGACCGTCATAAGCCATCACATCGCAACACCCCTGGGACAGAGAGTGACGGATGACCATTGGCCTCTTCCCTGGAAGATGTGGACTGCCGTCTGCCAGGAACTGGAGGAGATGCTCAAGATGGGAGTGGTTGAACAATCATGAAGCGAATGGTGGAGCCCAATCATCTTGGTCCCAAAACCAGATAGGAACATCTGATTTTGCATCAGTTTCCAAAAGGTCAATGCTATCTTCTGGTTTGATGCATACCTGATGCCACACATCGAAGAACTCCTAGAGCAGGT